TGTAGCTGAAGTGTGGGAGTGGGGTGGGTAGGATGGCAGGAAGTGAAAATTAGTATAAGGACACAGGCCAGAGTAAGCAGGACCTTGATTTTTTTAAAAAATCACTATGACTTCAGCATGAAAATATATATTAAATAGGGTAAGGGAATAGAACTAGTCAACAATGTCAAATGCTGCCAAAAGTCATGAAGATGAAGATTGAAATTAGCTTGACTTCCCAAATTCCATGACCAATAAATAACTAACCCTAACTCCAGGGATAAAATTCAGGTGTCAGTCAATAATACACTGGGCCCCAGATTTGAATATAGTCAGAAGCAAGAAAATTTTGTGTGCAAAATATAATTTCTAAGACTCATTATTTAAAATTGCTTAGTATTCATAAGTTTTCTTTTTTAAAGTTTCAGTACTGGGAATTGAACTCTGGGCCTCATGCATGTAAGGTCCTTGCTTAGCATCTGGGTGGCCATCTTAAGTGACAGCCGCCATTTTCCCATCCAAGGGCCTTTTCAGAAAAGGCTCACCACTCCCTCATACCAACCCCACCCTTCAGCCTCCTGCATTAGGACCCACAGGCTCTGATCCCTGAGCTTGGCCCATAAAAGCCACAAAATTCAAGCCTGTCCTGCCTCTCTCTTCTACGGAAGGATGTGCCTTTATTTGTCAGCTCTGACAAACTCTCAGTGTGTATCTCTGCCTGGTCTCTGTCTTTCATTTATTGCTCGCTCGTCTCCCAAGTTATTGCTTTTCTTTCAATGCACTCTAGGTAAGTACTCTACCACTGAGCTACATCTCCAATCCTATATTTATAAGTCTTCTGTAGGAATCTTTCCCCCTTACACATCGTGTAATTTTCTTGCTCACAGAAAAGATGAATTAGTTGGTCACCTTTACTCTAGAGAGAGTAAAGGTGACTCACTGATCCCTAAATGAAGTACTATTAGGGGACCAAGTAAGTTTGCAGCACCATCCACCCCACCCCACCCCACCCCACCCCAGCTTTGCTCTACCTAGGAATATAAATGCTAGTTCATATGGTCATTCTATGCCTAAAATTTTGAGAAACTGCCAACTGTTTTCCATTTCCAATTTCTAATGAGAATGAATAAGGGTTCTAATTTCTCCATACTTCATCAGTATATTATTAACTATTTTAGTTGCCCCTATTAGATATGAAGTGATCTTTCATGTTAGTTTTGATTTACATTTTCCTAATGTAGATGTTGAACAAGCTTTCATTTGCTTACTGAACGTTTGAATATCTTTGTAGAAATGTCTATAAATTCTTTCTCCATTTTCAACTTGGGTTATTTGTCTTTTGATTATTGAGTAACAAGAGTTCTTTCCATATTCTTGACATAAGCCTCCTATCAGATACATGATTTGCAAATATTTTTCTCATTCTCTGAATTGTCTTTTTACTTTCTTGATACTGTCCCTTGACATACATATATTTTTAAGTTTTAAAGTCCAATTTATTTTATTTGTTGTTTATGAATTAAGATAAGATCATGTGTTGTTACAGTGGGATCTAATCCAATAGGATAGGTGTCCTTGTAATCATAGGAAACTTAGAAACAAAGGATAGACAATGTGAAGATACTTAAAAAAGATGGCCATCTACAGCAGTCTCCATTTTTGCAAGACAGATGCATTCCAAGAACCCCAGTGGATGCCTGGGACTTCAGATAGCACCCAACCTTTAATTTTATATATATATAATTATATAATGATATATTATTACATAATAAAATATTCAATAATTGTAATAATTATATAATACATTATATAATTATAATGTTATATATTATATAATTATATACTATATAATTATGATATATGCTTTATAAATATATTTAATGTAATATATGATTTATATATACATACATACGTACTCTGCTTTTCCTATGCATATATAACTTGATAAAGTTTAATTTATAAACTAGGCAGATATTAACAATGACAATAATAAAATAGACCAACTGTAACGATATACTATAATAAAACTGCCAGTATCAGCATCACTATTCTTGAATTTGGGGACATTATTAAGTTAAATATGGGTTACTAGAACACATACATAGTCAATCTGATAAGATGTCTACTAAGTGACTAATGGGTGGGTAGCATACACAGTGTGGATACAAAGTACATCCTAGGTAGGATGAAACAATGGTTTGAGGTTTCATTGAGCTACTCAAAACAGTGTACAATTTAAAACTTATAAATTGTTTATTTCTGGAAGTTCCCATTTAATATTTTTTGGACCACAGTTAAATGTAACTAACATCATGAAAAAGGGAAAGTACTGTAGAAGTCATGGAGAAAGGTCTGGAACCTATCCTTCACTCCTGGTCCTCAGAAGGAATTAATATCTTAATCTCAGACTTCTAGTCTCCAGAACCATGAGAACATGAATTTCTGTCATTAAAGCCACTCACTATGTAGGGCTTTGTCAGCAGACTGACCAAACTAAAGTAACAAAATAAGAAAGGTATTTTTCTGACTCAACTCATAATAATAAGGAGGAGCACTAACAAAAGATAATGGAGACAAGGATAAATCCCTTTCTGTATTCTCTTTAAAATACTGTCAAAATGTCTGAAAGTGAAATGTTTCCTCTGCAAGAACAATGAGAATAAGGAGAGTATCAGAACCATCCTCACAGACGTTCCTTTGCTCAAAAGCCTACAAATACTTCCTCATCCAGAGTCAAGGCCAAAGTCCCCACAGTAGCAGTAAGGCCCTTCTTGATTGGGCCTTGGAGCTAAGTTTGGCTTTTCTCCTCCAACTCAGCTCTTTTTTTTTTTTTTTTAATTGGTTGTTCAAAACATTACAGAGCTCTTGACATATCATATTTCATACATTTGATTCAAGTGGGTTATGAACTCCCATTTTTACCCTGTATACATATTGCAGAATCACATCGGTTACACATCCGTGTTTTTACATATTGCCGTACTAGTGACTGTTGTATTCTGCCAACTCAGCTCTTCAGGCTCCCTCCTTCCCTAGAAGCTTTCAAGCTCCTGGGGCAATGCTCAAGGGTCATCATCTGGGTGAGGATTTCCCTATCACATTATTTGAATGCAAAATCAGATTCCCCTGCAGCAGTTCTAGCATTCCCTACCACCCCACTTTCCCCCTACTCCCCCTCCAAACACCTACCTTTTTTCTCCAAGGCACACATCATCACCTGAAATATGCATTTTATTTATTGCCTAATTGCCTCCCAGCCTAGTTTAGAGATTCAATAAGTGCAGAAATTTCCTTTTGTTTACTACCATAACATCACCATCTACTAGGTGGTGCTCATAAATGCTCAGAGTGAACATATTTGCACAGTCCTCCTTACTGAGCTAAGATCAAAAACTAATGCCTCTTCACAGGTAACAGGCAACTTTTAACAATGGTCCACTTTCTACTTTGAATATAGCCCTTGATCCTCTGCCACTGAGACTTATTTTAAAAAGGGACATGTCTCTTCCTCTCACCATCCTGTTCCCTAACCTTGGAGAAAACAGGATTACCTGTTCTCTCCCCAGTTCTCTGTCCATGAGCACACACACAAACCATAGGAATTAAGTAATTCAGACTTGTGAATGGTACCAGACAGAAGCTCTAAGAAATGACTATCTCCCAAATTAACACCTGAATTATAGCTCCAGACTGAGAATGTAGCCTTTGCTTCACCCCTGATGGGCAGAATCACAGCCTGTAGGACAGGAGTTCCTTGTGTTTCTCTTTTGCTGGCAAAGCAATAAAACTTCTTTTTCCTTTTTCTCAAAACTGTGTCCTGGTTACTGAGGACAAAGACAGCTTTTGATAACACCTTCCTATCCTCTTTTACATAACTACTACCTTCAGTCAGTGACTCAAGGAGAAAGAAAAAGTCCCCAAACCAATATTCCTTTTGCTTCTCTGTGCTAACTAGAAACCTGGGGAGAAAGCATGTTTTAAAGTCTCTGGTCCAACTCTTTCCTGTTTTTTGTTTGTTTGTTTGTTTTCTCACCCTGACAGGAAGATTTTAGTGAACCAGGAGATTTTTGTGAAAAGTCTACTACAGGGAGAAAGCAGTGTTTGCTTCTCCACAGTAGATCAAGGTTTGCCTTACACTCCAGATTTTAATATGTCCTCCAACTTCCTATATGTGAGGGGAATATGCTAGCACCAGCAAACTACAAGGGAGCTGGAAGCCATCTGCACATCTTTTTTTTTTTAATATTTATTTTTTTAGGTGTAGATGAACACAACACAATGCTTTATTTTTATGTGGTACTGAGGATCGAACCCGGGTCCCAAGCATGCTAGGCGAGGGCTCTACCACTGAGCCACAATCCCAGCCCCTGCACATCTTAACTATTCCTCATAATCATGCCCGAGTCTAAACCTTACTTCATTTGAAGAGAAACAAACAGGGAAAATAATAGAGTATATATAAAATTGACAAAACAAAAGTGAAAGAAACAGGAAAAAAGTGAAAAGAGGAAAAAAAAATAAAGCATACACACACACACACACACATAAAATCAACAACACAAAAGTGAAGAGAAAAAAGCTTTTAACAATCCAAATCTAAAGGAAAAGATTAAGTGAATTATGAAACACCACTCACTAGAGTTATTTAAATGACTATCAAGATTATGTCTCAAGACATAAATATTAATGGATAATAAGTTTAAACCACAATATGAGAAAAAATTATATAAATCATGTTTAGTTTAAAAACAGAACAGAAATACCAAATGCTCAATTATTTTAACCTTCTAGAATCTACAACTACAGAGAATAAAGTTCCTACTAGGATACAGAAATACAAACTAAGGTTTTAGTTATGGTGAAATTATATTTACTTTCTCTAACGATATTATATTATTATTTTTAACAATTTGAAAAATTGATGAAAGAAAAATATTCATATTTGCCACATATCTGACAACAGAAGATGGGACAAATCTAGGACCTTTAAAATGTATAATGGAAAACAAATATATTCTTACCCTTGTGCCTCTTCAGTTGGGGAAAACTGCTAATTGTAGTTGCCTGGATTATTTCCACTACAATTTGATATCTGATTTTAAAAGAGAGAGAAAGAGAATAGATTGATTAGGAAGAAAATACTATCTTGAGAGATACTTTTATTTATACTAAACAAGTAAACACAGAAGCTGTGAGTCCTGGGCACTGCGCCACTTGCTAATCGTGATACAGAAGTCATGTACTGGCACTCCACTCTTCCTCTCCCTACGTGTTACTACCTGTCCCACAGTGATGGCAGAAACCTTGAGGCTAGGCTCAACTCCTGCCTCTCCTCAGTACTCCTGGGAAATCAAAGTCTGTCAATTCCAATCTCCTAAATTTGCATTGTCCAACAAGATGCCCATGAGCTACATGTGACTATTTAAACCAAGTAAATAAAATGTTTAATTCCTCTGTCACACTAGCCACATTTCAACTGCTCTATAGTCAAATGCAGCTTGTAAGATCCTATTAGATGGTACAAATAGAAAGAATATTTTGATTGGTACAAAGACAGTTCTACTGCATGGTCCTTCCTAAATGCTTCTCCAGGTTGTCCTCCCGTCTCCAGTACATAGGTACTGCCTCAGTTTGCTCTCTTGTTATTTCTCACTTAGAAGACCATTCCAGACCAAGAGAGTCAAGAACATCTGTAAGGGGACTCAGATACCTGTATTTTCATGTTAACTGTCTCAGTAATTCTAACGCAGAGTGAGAGTTGAGAACCACTGGACTAGAGCACCAGCTAGATGCACATATGACTTAGAAGGCCTGAGTCAGGAAAAATACACAAAATCCTGCATTTTAAGTGCTGAGTTCAATCTGAGTCATGGCTATTTTGAGTATATTGATTTGAGCTTTATAAACCTAGTTCTTAAGGGCTGGTCAATGGTTACTAGGGTTTCCCTAACCAAACTTTTCTGCCCTGTTTCTCAGATCTTAATTATGTTGACTGTAATCTGCTTGCAATAAAGGTGTTTAACATTAATTAAGCTGTTTAACATTAATTCTTACTTTGGACACAAACTGTGCAGCATTCTAAGATTTAATGCTACATTTGGCTGGCTTTTAGCCCACACAATAGAACATATATTCTTTGGCTTTTCAACTAAAACCTAAAGAAGAAATACAAATTCATCAAAAGCATAGCTATTCATAAACTCCTGGCAAATTCACATCTTTTTTATTTCTTCACTTGTATAATAAATATTGATGTCTGATTCTCACAACCTCAAAAAGCAAGTTGTTGGTAATAGTGTTGGTCTGTCCCCTGAAGACTGGCAGACATTGCTGGTTGTCTACCCAACATTCATTTTCCCTTTCTCCCTTACTAACTGAATCACAGTTTTAGTCAGGGAAAGCAATGGTTGCAGCTAAACAAGCCAACTTTCTCCCTAAATGAGGGATGACCAAATGACATAGTTCTAGCTGAGGAGATAAAGGCAGAAATTGCAGGGTGCAGACTCCAGGAAAGCATTCTTAAAGTATAGACTTCCTAGAGAAGCCCTTGTAACTTTTTTCCTTGCCCTTTCCTCATTGACCTGTGTGAAACAAGGATGCAGTGGAACAAGGCACAGAGCCACCTTCATCCTTTAGCAACGATAAGGAGTGAAGCCACAGGCTGAAAATGAAGTCAGAGGACAGAAGTTTACGTCTCTGATGACTTCACTGAGCTGTCAAAGCAAACCCCAAACTGCCCATCTCAGGACATGTTGCTGCATAAAGAAAATAAACCCCTGAATTGCTTAAGTCACTGTATATCACCTTATCTTATGATCAATGCCATCCCAGCTGACAGAGAGCTCTTTAAGGACTCCATACACAGAAAATATCTTTGGGCTGAGTATATGCCCAGGTGCTATTTTCCAAACTGAAGCCTTGCTAGGACATTACTGAGCACTGAAGTTTTCTAATGTGTCACACTATCTGCAAGATGTTTACTCAATTTCCTGAACCAGGCAGTGAGGGGATTATAAAAAACAGGCCAACAGACACAAAAATAGAAAAAGTGGAACTTGGTGGTTCAGCCTGCCTCTGTTGGAGGAAGACTGTCCAAGAGCAAGCTCAGGGCATTCATTATATAGGCCTAAACATCAAAAGGATTTATTGTGAGAAAGCTTCTTCAAGATGAAAAAAACCTAATTTGTGGGTAAAACAGCCCCTTTAGGGCATATCAGCTTCTGCCCATAACTCTTTACCTCCAGGGAGCTGGCATTTCAACTCAAGGCCATGAACTAATAAATTCTTTGGCTTGCACAGAATATCCCTTGAGCAGGGCATCACCCAAAACTGGGAAGTTTTCAATTGGTGGCTTCCAATTAAGAAATTCCCAAGGGAAGTGTCACCTCTGTCTTTGAGCAATTCAAAGAAATGATTCACTCATGCTCAGGACACTAATGGAACTGAAATTCTTCCCAATTATGGACAAGCACAAAAATGGCTCATGATGTGAATTTTCATGTTAGTTACTACATAGATAAGGAAGCACATATAAGAAGCATATACAAATCTGGAACTATCAGAGCCCAACATTCTTGAATAAAGTCCTTAATTTAACCTTAGGTTAGGTTAAATTAAGGACTTTATTCAAGAAGTTCTACTATTGGAATACATTGACTTAAGTTCTACTACTGGAATACACTGACTTTTCATTCAACTCTAGTACACGTCTTTGAACACCTCCTTGTACACTGCCATCTGGATGTCCTGCAAATAGATTTAATGTCCAATGTCCATTCACACAACAATTCCCATTAAAAACAAACAAATAAACCAAAAAACAAAAACAAATCTACATCATAAACATTTGTTATGGCAATTTCTATAAAGAAAAACATGGAAATAATCTAGAGGTCAACACTTGTTAATCTTTTCCTATGTTCTGAACATAGGAATGAACAACAGCAATATGGTCCCTGCTTTCAGGAAGTTTTGGGGATATATCAGATTGAAGATAAATCCCCCAGCCAATAATATTTATAATTATTAAGTTTACATGGAAATAAATGTTGTGACACACTGATTTTAAAAATACAAAGTGGAATGTACATTTATAATAGCAGATATGTTATGTGGGTACATGAACCAGGGCTACAAGGTAACATGAAGATGAAATTAAAGGCAATTATGTTAAACTGACAGAATTATAAGTCATTCTTTAACTTTTCCAAACAATTTCTCTCTCTCCCTTATTCTCTACCTCCCTCTCTAAACCTATTCAAACTACCTTCTTTCTTGCATAGGTTTCCTTACATTTTCATTTCTAACCACCAACCTTCTCAAAATCTTATTATCTTAATTAGATTTTTATCCTAATAGGAACCATCAGTCTCAAAGCCCAATTGACCTGTCCTTTGAATATTTTTAAGTAAGTTCTTTTCTTTTTCTTCCCTTGGCCACTACCCTATTTGGGGGCTCCTCCTCATGTGTGGGTCCCTGCAATGGCTGAACAGTTTTAGTTGCTTGCCTGAAGCTATCTTGCTCTCTTTTACGTGAAAACAGCTTGAGCAGCCCCATCAAAACACCTTCCCACTTTCCCATGACCATTTAACCTCCCTTCCTTAATATCTCCAGCAAATTCCTCAAAGGAATAACCTATATTCCAGCTTGCCATTTCATTCACTAATTAGCACTGGCTCTTTTATCCAACCCAATTTCCTTTTCTCCTCAATCTAGGTGTGGACTTCAGGTAGGTCAATTTCTAAACTGTCCTCACAAAGCTACAGTCTCCCTAGGCTCTTGCTCATGCTCTGCCTCAGAAGACAATCTCCCTACTTGTTCATCTAACTACATCTTACATGTATTACTTCTTCAAGTTTTCCCAGCACCAGTTAAGTACACTTAATATATGTCTTTTCTCAAATCCTAAATTACTTCTGCTCTATAACAATACCTATTTGTTTGCTACTTTATAATGCTGTTTTAAAGACAGACTTCCACCAAGAATGCTGTAAAAAGAAAATGGTGTTCAGTGATTTTAGGGCCTAATATATCTTCAAAAAATATGACACATTTTTTGAGCCTATGAAAACATTGTGATTTTATCTAAAATAAAGATATGCTACTTTCTCCCCATCTAGATCATAGCCTCTTGAATAAAGGTATTGTGTCTTATACTTTATAGCACTTTCTTAGCACCAAACATATGGTAGATGCTCAATAAATACATTTTTTGATGGAAGTGGAAATTAGTATAACCTGAAGGGTGATTTGGCAATAATTATTGAAATTGCAAATGTAAAAATTCATCAATCTAGCAATTTCTCTTCTAAGACTTTAAGCCAGGGATACATCTCAAGATATATGTGAAATGATTTAGGTACACAATTATTCACTGCAGCATGGTGATATAACAGGAAAAATATCAGAACTATTAGAAGTAACTTAGATACTCAATAAATATTAATAAATTAGAAATAAGAGTTAACATCTCTACCACTTAACAGGTATGCATAATATTTTGGACAACTTATTTTTTTGATTGTCTTAGTGATTTCATGCTTTGGAACAAATGAGTCACTGATGGTACTGAAGCAAATACATACTGTCTAAGTCAATAGTTAGCATTTTTTAATGAATTCATAAAATCATACTGTAATATCAGCTAACATTTATAGAATCTTTCATAGGTACCAGGTACCTCTTTAGATCTTTTAATTCACATGAACTCACTTAGTCCTCATAAGAGGACTATAATTGTCTCCACATTGAATAGGAGGAAATTGGTGTTCAAATGAATTAAGAAATCTATGTGAGGTCGCCTAGAGCCAGAAATACAACTGAGGGCTACCTGACTTAAAGCTCATACTGTTTACCATTTTCCTGCAATTCCACAAAATTAAATATATGGTAGTGTCATCTCATCTAAGGATTCTCAAAGTATACAAGCATGGCCAACACCAGATAATGAGCCTTACTGACTTCTCTATCCCTCTTGGATAGAGGTTCTACTCTGGTTCTACCAATGAGACCATAAGCATAGCCCACACACTCTAGCTCTTCTCCAACTCCTGTCATTTGCTCTCCTGTTTATTCTCCCTAGATTTCATATAT